CTCTCATCTCATGTTGCTGTGAATTAAGACAAAACCACGAGGAGAACCAAGGGCAGCCCGAGGCAACCTGGATATCTCCTGGAGCTTCAGGTCCCCTGTCCAGCTCTGCATCCCAGTCTAAGTGATGCAACTTTTTGAACATGCTGTGCACCAAAGTAGTTCATTGGTAATGCAGTAATTAGCATCCCAGATAAAATGACACTGCTGCAGTGTTAATTACCATAGTGCTGATGTAGTGTTGGATTTAGATATCATATATAACGTTGTCAAGCCTTTATTTTTAAATTAAAGTGCAACAAACCATAACCTGGCTACACATCTTTTTTTGTCGATTAATACAAATTAATGTTGTTTCAATGTCTAGGGAAAGGGCAAAGAAAATGGGGTGTTGCACCTAATTGTAAGAACACGTGTGGGAATCCTGGACTCCTACAAGCTCCTGCTCCCACTCAGACCTCCGCACAGTGGAGTGTGAGCTCTGTGAGGGCAGGGACCACACTCACCCCAGCTCCTAGCACAGAGTCAGCACTTCGAACATTTTCCCAGTGAAAGAATGGATACTTGACAAATGAATGAAGACAGAGGCATGTGTACAGAAGGGGTCTGGGAGAAAATAAGAACTAGAAGACAGAGTGGTTTATTCATAATTCTCCTAGTTTTTGCTTCAAGTCTTCAAAACGATCTAGGATGCTTCTCATATCTAGCACTTTAAAATCCAGAAAGAGAGGCAAGCCAGTCATCAAAATGCAGAAGTCAAAGTCTCCATGTAAATGTTTAAGGAAAAGTATCACATTCCACCAGGATTTGGAAGTTGGAGAAGATGCAGGGAAGGAAGATAAAAAAGGATCTTCCCACAGTAGCTGAGCACCCATGCAATAAGCCAAAAGAAAGGGAAGGCAAGAATAAAAATGCTTAACCACTGAATATATTGTTAACTTAATACAACATCACAGGGGATGTTTTTCTATTTTTTCTATTGAGGTAAAATACATATGGCATGAGTTTACCATCTTAACCACTTTTAAGCTCAGTAGTATTAAGTTCATTCATATTGTCGTATAACCTTCACCGCTATACATCTGCAGATATAACCTTCACCGCTATACATCTGCAGAACTTTTTTCATCTTGCAAAATTAAAACTTTATATCTATTAAAGACTAAACTCCTAATATCCCTCCTCCATCCTCAGCCCCTGCAATCACTATTCTTTCTGTAGCTATGATTTTGACAACTTTAGATACCTCACAAACAGTGGTACCATGGTGCATGAACTTAATTCATTCTGGAAAAGATGACCACATTGGTGTTCATGGGAGAAAGATGGCCCCAGTCTTGTTTGCCATCCCAGGCAGAGTTCACAAACAAAAACAAAATTTTGCCAAACACTTCTGTTTGCGAACCAAATCCTTCACAAAAAAAGCATTTGTGAACCAAGGTACCACTGTAAATGGAATTCATTTACACTTCAAGTAGTTACTGATAAAGAGAGACTTTTGTCATTTTGATATTTGTTTTCAAAATGTCTTACGGGATTTTTTGTTCTTTGTTGTCATAGTTATCTCTATTTTATGCTTAGGGAAGCTAAAATGTCAAGAAATCAGTAAACTACCTGAGCTCACATAGCTAACAAGAAGCCAACTGGGAATTTTTGGACTCTAGACCCCTTGATTTTTCTACGTGATAACGTGATGTGTGTCCCTGTGTTTCTAACTCCTGGGAAGTCAGACAAGCATGCAACACAGTCCTGTCTTGCTTGGATAGGCAACAATTTTCTTAGGGACATTAGACAGGCACAGATGAATAAATGGATTTCCAGAAGTGCAAGGATGCCCACAATAGTTGCCTAATGCTGAAAGAACTCAGAGCAACTCTTTGTATGCTGCTCTGCATTCCAAAGATGTCTGTGGATGTTGCTGGGTTGAATCTCATGGCCCGGTGTTTTATGTCATTTGATGATGAATACAGAGATACAGCCCTGCTCTATGGGATCAACTCCTTCTAGAAAATGGATGTGGCAAAACAGAGTAAATGCTATTAATAATGTGTGTACAATTAGATCCAGAATTTACCTAATGAAATATCCCTAGATTAGTAAAAGCACTTATTCATAAGGTAGTTATTGCAGTGCTTTTTACAACAGTGAAAAGATCAAGGAAGTATAAAGAAGCAATGATAAGCTATATATATTTTTCTTCCAATACCAAGAATCGAACTCAGGGCCCTGCACTTGCCAGGCAGGTGTGACATCTCTGAGCTACATCCCAGTGAAATGTTATGCAGCCATTTCAAAGTGATATTGCAGAATAGTTAATGATCTACAAATATTCATGTAGAAAGTCATACGTATAGACATACATGTGTATGTGGAAAATCATTTGTTATATATTTAAGCACGTGTATAAGATGATCTCATCAAATATGGATGTATATATAGTTATGCGTGTGAAAATCATACATGCCAAAGTATTAGTGGTGCTTATAGGTTAATTGTGGAATTGTGGCTGATTCCTCTTCCTTGAGCCGTTCTGTATCTTCTGAACCATATATAGTGCCTGTATATTATCTTAATAATTAGAATTTTTTTATATTGTGGTATATCTGCCTTAGTTTTCTCTTTTAATTTTTATTCTTATTAGTACATGTTTGCAGTACATAATTACTACATCCATTGTGGGGAGTGGGCACATGTACATAACACATCTCAATTATTTTCACCTCCCCTTCCACTCTCCTCCCTGCCCCTCTATTTCTTTGTGCTCTTCCCATTAGAAAAAGAAAAAAATAAATTTTATTTAAAGATGGAAATAACATCAAACACAAACCTGTCTTGACCCATTATACTGCAAAGAAAGTTAATAATCAAGACGTAGGAAGAAGATAAGTTCCCATATCTCATAGTCACCAAATACGCAGGCTGGAGAACAGAAATTTTGACTGGGATCCTTTGCTTGCAAGGAATGGACAACGTAAGGCGGGAGAGGGATTTATCTATAAGATGTAAAACGTCTGAAAAAGGGCAGCTCGGGCCTCCTGAAAGAACTGGTCAAAGAGATGTAAAGATACTTGGAGGTGAGGTAGTTATTCTCCCCTTCCACGCCCTCTCTCTCAGCATGGACACATGTGCCTCATCCTTCTGCCTGTGTTCTGACTTCTCTACTGCTTAGAGGCTCAGCTGTCTGGATCCCATTTGACCTTGCTCTTCAGCACTCAGCAGAGGCTATCTACTGTCTGTCCGAGTCTTTGGCAGATCCAGAATCACAGGAGAAAGATGATTGACTTAGCATTTACCATTCAGCTTTCATTGCGTGACAAACCACCCCTAAAACACTGACCTTGGCAGGGGAGGGCAGCCTGTGATCGGCCGTGGTGTCCTCAGTTGGAATGGCTCCCCTCCTTAGGGCCTCACGCTCTAGCCAACTAGCCCGGGATAATTCTCACCAGAAGGAGCCAGGAGGCATGAAAGGCATCTCAAAGCTACTCTCAGAACTAGCATGTTGCTGCCACTACATCCCTACATGCTCTTGGCTAAAGTACACAATAAGGCCAGCCTGGAGCCAAGGGATGGAGAACAGAATCCTATCTGGAGCAGCTGCAAATGCACATCATTAAGTAGTATAGTAACAGGGAGGAGAAGAATGAGGAATTCTGGTCATTTTTATAAACTGCATCTAGTCCCTGAGGGAGCCAGGCTGACACAGGCTCCATCTAGCAGCTGCATTGTATTTACATTTCCACATAACATTCTTGGTTGGTATAGAATGGGAAGAGAGACAACGAAGAAGTGTGTGTAAGCTTTTCACAATGTCAGCCTGGGAGTGATACTTGTGATGATCCCTCAAAGTCCATGGCCAATCCCAGCCACATAGGCTCCACCTTACAGGAAGGTGACAGAAAAAATGAGTCAGTGGAGTATTTGATGAGCATTGCTGTCTCTTCCCTAGGAAGCAATCTAAGAACTAAACAACATAATCACTCACAAGATCAGCATCAGAAATGTGTGAGGGCATGTAAAGCTAGGGCTACAGAGCGAATATATGTAGGCTATGGCTAATAAAGGAATCAGAAATTACACAAGACCTTAAAAAATCCCTGGGGCAAAAGGCTGGGACCAAGGGATCAGAGCAAAGCAGGAAGAAATCCCAAGTAGTTTGTCACCTAAAATCTCAGAAGCATTCCATCTAGATTTATTCAAAAGCTTCCTAAGACCCAGATCGTTTTACCGGAGTGGAGTCAACTGAGGTGACTACAGAAGTAGAGTTCCAGGTGGAACTAAGTCCTAATGTCGTAGTCCAGAAAATACAGCTGAACATCAAGTCAAAAGAGTAAGGAAAGAAAGAAAGAAAAAGAACAGGAAGCAATAATCTTAGCAGTTGAAAGGACTGAAGCCAAATGGAATGGGAATGAGGGGTGAGCCTGGGAATCCGTGAATGGGAAGTTTATATGAATTGCTTTACTTTAATGCTGAGGTTGTGAGCTGTGAGGAGGGATCAGGACTCTCCTTTTGTGTAATGTCTGGTTGCAGGGCTGGGAGGGAGTCTAACAAAACAGGACGGGACCCTAGAGACTTCAGATGAAGACCCTCAACCTCCCAGCAGAGTTTGCTTCTCCTCAGCCATTTTGGCTTCTTTGTCTTTCATTTGACCTTTTTAGCATCTGTCCCCTGATTACTGCTTTCTCCAATTTCTCAACCTGAGATTTTTAATTTTTACAGCTTCTTTTCCTTGCGATACTTATAGTAACAGGAATAAATTAATTTATGAAAGGTACAGTACACAATGTATTAGTTGCATCAGATGAAAAGTCTCCTTTAATCTCTTGCCCCATATTCCTAAATAATAATGTGGTTTACCATTCACAGGAAGTCCAAGAATGCCCTCTGGGGAGGCGGCCGTGCCCTACTCCACACGTGCTTCCATCATTGGTCCACACATCACACTGAGTTTGAGGAGAAATGGAAGAAAGAAAAGCTTGCTTGACCTGTTGCTCATTTCTTTGCAGGTCAGTGGGACTATGTACAACACTGGAAGACATGTGTCCCTCCGCCTGGACAAGGAGCACTTGGTCAACATATCGGGAGGGCCCATGACCTACAGCCACCGGCTAGAGGAGATCCGGCTACATTTTGGGAGTGAGGACAGCCAAGGGTCGGAGCACCTCCTCAATGGACAGGCCTTCTCTGGGGAGGTATGTGGGTCTGTCAAAGTAGAAAGGATATAAGACATGGTGCTTGTTTATATCTAAAGTGAAATAACAGATGGGAAGATTTCCCTTGAATCTATGAAACTAGAGGGTCTCTGCCTCTTTTCTCCCCGTTTTTTGCATGTTGGCATGGACCTTCAGTATGTTCCGGGGAAGGCTACAATGAAACTGAGTATTTCCCTCCAAGACATTGGTGCAGGTCTCTTGGAACTTGTGCCCCAATATATCTCTGGAGCATAATTCAACCCCAGACCTTCACCTTTCATGTGCCTCTCCACTTACACCTCTCCAAGCCATCAAGCTCTCATGTCACGTATGAAAAAGTAGACTCCATAATTCTCCTTTCTGGTAGAAGAGGTCTTATTTGCTCAAAACTATAACATACTGTGAAATAAATGTCAGGCAACTAAATAGTTTGCCTGAGATTCTGCAGAATGGAAATGTCATCGTGTGCCACCATTCATGGTGAGTGTCACTGCATGCCAGCATCAACCCAGACAAAACTCAGGCCACAGCAGTGAGCCCAGATGAAGTTTCAGTGATAGAATGAGAATTACCACTGAAACAGATGTCATCTATGGTGTGACACAGGACAGGCAGCGTGTATCTAATTGGACTGTTTTACCTCCATTATACTTGAGTGTGGGTATCAATGAGGAATGCTTAAATACCATGCAACTATGATCCTGTTAAGTCTCAACAACTGATGCCAGGAAGGCTTTGAAATTACCGAAGCATGTATCTCACGAGATCCTTTCATTTTTTTAATCAAGGTCATGTTTAAACCTGGTGTTATTTTTAATGTGCTAAGGCCTTACACTGAGGAATAGACCCCAACCTCAAAGAGTCTAGTGGGCAGATTTTTATGTGTGTTCAAACTGCATCAACAGAGAGCCTGCCCAGGGATCCAGCTAGTTACCAGGGATACAGGGGTTTAAAAAAGAAAAAGGAAAAAAAAATAAAGAGCTCCTGCCACCGAGGAGCTCAAAGAGTGCTATATTCAAATCATAAAAGCATAATGCCATGCTGTAATGGAGCTGCGCACATCCCCTGGCATATTCAAAGGAAGAAGTGACAAATTTTACGTGAAGGGTTCAGAAGGAGCTTCACAGAGGAGGTGCCCTTTGAACTGGGCTGTGAAAGAAGCAATGAAGAACAATTTTAAGAGCGTCAGCTTTGGAGTCAAAGGACCTGAGTTTGTAGCTCCTGCTTTGATACCCACTACCTATGTTATCTTGGAATGTTATCTGATACTTCTAAGGCACAATTTAGACACCTTTCAAGGTTATTTTAAAATTTAAGTGGGATTCCAGATATAAGAAGCACTGGAAGTACTCAGTTGATGGGTGAAAAGATAAAGCAGGAAATGAGGACTAGCATGAGAAAAGGCCCCGAGGCATGTCAGAGCACTGGGTGTTGGAAAAAACATGTCACATTTTATCTGTGATCTATTAGTAATGGCTACATAGAAAATGGGGTTGAGCAAGAGTAGAGTATCCCTCCTGGATATGTAGGGTGAAATGCTAGGATTGATTAGAGGTGTCTACCAAAGACAAGTAGGTGACAGAAAGCTCCCAGAGTTGCAGATCCTGAGCGATGGCATAGCGGGGAACATGATGCCAGCAGAGCAAAACCCAAAATTTGAGAGTAACTGAGGACTGCCGGTCTGAATTGGAGACTATTCAAAGTTAGATGAACTCCTCCTTCTGATAATATAGATTATGTTAAGATTTATAATTATTTTATGTGTTGAGTTACTTGCTCATTTATTGGTTTGTGTTGTTGTTGTTGTTGTTGTTGTTTATCTCTCATATTCTGGTGCCCATCTCAACAGTGTCTCAGAGTAGAAATATTCCTGCTATTTAAATGAATGAATGAAAAATATAGATGGTTACAAGGCTAGAGATCTTTAAGTTATAGAGTTCTTTGATGTCACTTGTTTCTTCAATATAAGGTAAGAATGCTTTGTAACTTATATATGAATAAGTTATGCTTTTGGGGTAAATGACTGAGTCCAAAATCCTTAAGGGAAATACATAATAATATGATCTGTTAGTATTCTGATCTTCCTAGACCTACCCCAGACCACAGGTATCAGGTCCTTCAAAGAATCTGTATTTTACAAGTTTTCAGGACAGTCTAACAATTAGATCTATGAAACCATCCATCAACAGTGCCTTATTAAGTGTTTCCAATAAAGAAAGCATTCAGTGATGCATTTAAACAGTGAAGAATGCATTTAAAGTTGTGCATAACAATAACTGGCAATGCATTCCAGGAGAATTTTGGAGGCTCCAAAGCAATGTCGTAGGGAAGCTCATTGGATAGGCAGTTGGCCTTTGAGGTATATAGAGGGCTCTGATGAGCAAGAAGAGGTTGGCATCTTCTGTGTAGTATGAGAGAAAAGATCTCGGGCCAGTGGGTGGGAGCTACAGAAAGTCAGAGTTCAGCTAAATTCATGTAGTACCAATGAGAGCTCTCCATCAATGAAACGAGTTTGGTTTCCAAAACAGTGAATTCCTACCACTGAAATTATTAAACATTGAACCAAATTTGGTGTCTTCATTAAAATGATTCACATCCTAATAAGCAGGTGAACTCTTCGCTTTAATGTACCTTTTAATAATGAAATTCTAAGGGCCAGGGATTTAGCTCAGTGGTTCCACCACCTGGCTCAAAAGCACAATGACCCGAGTTCGATCTCTGGTACCAAAACATGAAATTCTACATAATCTATGATTTTCTTATAGAATTTTCCTCCAAGTGGATTCCCTTGCAGCTTAGCCTTAGTAAAAGCAAATGTGTAACCCCCCATAGCTCAACTTTTTTTTATTATTATTATTATTACTATTATCATCATTATTATTATTCTGTGTTTCTTTCAAAGCCTCCCTTGGTCTCTATTTCTGGCTATCCTTTGGGAGAACCCAAGTAGACGCTTGTCGCGACAAAGCATGTGTTTATTTTCCTGACAGTGAAGAATCACATTGCCATCTGCTCCATCTATCATTGCTGATCGTGATAAGTCAATTAATGCCAGGCATTCTCCTTGGTACAGTACACTAGTCGCTATCTGAAAAGCTATAGATTAATTGCAGTCTTGTCTAGTGAGGTTATTATAATTGATGGTAATCATTTGCTTTGTTTTATAAAGCTGCATGGATGTACGACACAGTCACCAACTGCATTTTTATAAAAATTATTCATGTCCTACATGGAGAACTCCAGGATGCCTTGTTGGGGGTTGGTGATAAATGAGCATATTCAGGGACTCAAATGTCTCAATTTTTTAAGAAGAGAAAATTAACTGTTTTTAATAAGTAAAATCCTTCGCTTACTAATCATGTCTAAGAGCTTAGATTAACATCCAGTATAAAGTAGGGTATTTAGGAAAAGAAACAAATACATTAGCCAAGCAAAAGATAATATTAGAAAAGAGTCGTGCCTGTGCATTAAATTCTAATAGTGGGACTAGACAAGGAAAATATTTCTTATTTAGGAGAGATTGGACAAAGTTATTTCTGCAACCTGCTTTAAGTTTTTCTTTTCAAAAGGGTAAAGGAGCACCCTGCGAATTGCACTAGCCATTTTGAAAGCTGTGGGTGGCCTTGTCCTCTGCTAACTTTACCTATCCCTTGCATATCTATTTTGCTTCTGCTGTGTGCTGAACTCTAAGCTAAGCATGAGCCAGAGTCCAGCATCTGCCCAGAGAAACTTGAAATCTATTGAGGGATTTGTCTACTGATAACACTATGCATCCTTCAAAATACTCCCCCTCACTTCAAACACACCTAGCTCATTGTTCCTACCACTTTCTGAAGCAGTTCTGGAAGACCTCTTTCATGAATGTCTCTAGTTGTGCGGTCATGGTTGCCTGAATGTCCTGAATCCTTCAAAACTTTCGCAGTCATTTTGACTTTCAGGAAGAACCAGAAGTTACATGGAGCCAGATATGATGAATAAGGTGGATAAAGACACATTGTAATGTTTTTATTTGACAGAAACTGCCATAAATGGTTGATCAATGAATGAGTGATTACAAAATATGGTGAATGTTTAAATAAAAAATGTATTACAGTAAAAGGCACATTGCCATTAATCCCCTCTAAAATATGCAAAATATCCCCTCTCATCTGCACACATGTATTCTACCATTCTTGGCAATGTCTTTTATTGTCACAAGTTTTTTAATTTAATTATTCACCGTATCTTTTGATCATCCCTTGTATTTGAAGTTTATTCCAGAAGAGGAGTATGAAGTAGCTCTCTTTGGATCATACTGAAGGAAAACAAGTGGCCAGCTGTGCAGACAGACATGCTTGCTGGTCCCTCTGAGGAGGAGGTAGAGGCATTGACCTTTCTAGAGTCTAGCCTCTGGGGTCTCCAATCTTGCTCAAAACACAAATGAGGCAGGGAAAAGACCATAGCTGTTGCTATGGTGATGCTGAGTAGATTTGTTCATTAAAAAGGGGGACTAAAGTCACATGTAAAATATGGAGGTGTTTTTTTCCCTTTTTGGTGGCTCTGAACCAAAAAAGAGATAGCTCCCTTAGAATCACCAACTGAGACCTAACAATAGAAAATACAGGCCTTGTCCAATTAACTTGCAACCTTGAGAAACTGGTGTCACTACAGCAGCACATAGTTGAAGGAATAAGTAACTACCACCAAAGGGTCCCAAAGTGTGCCAGGGTGTGGAAAGCGCTGAAGATCACCAGCTGAGAACACATGGCTGGGGTGGGGTGGATGCTCAGGCAAGCGACTTAGCTCTCTGTTGTGTGGCTGAGACCTCCTGGTAGAGATACTTCACTGGCACAACCCGAGATTGAGAGGGAATGAGAACTGGGTTCTTTAAGAATAACAGGTGGGGAACGCCTCAGGTAGTGCTCCGTGTGTGTCACAAGAAGCTGCTCCCTCCCTCTCCCTAGCCCTCCTCCACTTCAGTTCCCCTGTTAGGGCTTCCCAGCCAGGCAGCTGTTACCAGC